TATATATATATTTTTTTTTTATTTTTAGTTGCCAAAGAAATTCTTTGTGTACAACTTGCTGCCGGTTGGAGGCTAGATTCCGTAGCCGGCAGCTGAATGTCAACCATGGGCAGTGAGCGGCAGCAATAGCCAATAGCAGGCTGGCTATTGCACCCACCGACTGTTCTTAATGAGCAGAGGAGCGGTCCTGAAAGAGAAAGGGGTGGGAAGTAGGGGTTTGCTTGAGTTAATAGTAACTTTCAAGCAACCAGAAACTACAGTTATCCGGTATCAACCAATCCCCATGGGTGCCGGATAACTGGGACTTTACTGTAATTACAAACAGTACATTGGGCGACACCTCTCAATTGTATTCTAGAAGAGCTGCACGAGCCAAAGAATCTTCAGCATCTAACATGCTTTCAGGTATGATGATCAGATGCCTGAAGGATTACATTGTGTGCTGTGGTTCTACCTGCCGGCTGCTATGTCACTACTGTGTCCTTGTAGACCTTGATGCAAAAGATTCTTTAGCCAATGTACCTCTAGCAAAAAGATCAAAGTCCCACCCACCAGACTGGTACATATTCTATCTTCATTTGTAGAGTGGACGCCTTTTTCCCCCCAGACAAGTAATTTAAAAAAGTGTGAGGACAAAAAACAAAAACTCATCCCCATAATTAGAGCCGACCTATGACACTACAGCTGTCACAGGTCGGCTCTATTAAATCGAGAACTGAGCGATACATACCGCCAATCACTCAGTTCCCGATCATCTCATCTATTCTAAGCAAAAAAAAAAAAGCCGGAGAGTCTTATGTATACTCCTGCTCCAAAGAAACAGCTAAAGATACATTTTTAGGCAACACATACAGTGGGAGTTTGTTAAAATATAACATGTAAGTGCATGTCAAGCCAAAACTTTTTATTTTTCTTAGTTTTGTGTAGCGTGGGAAAGGATTAAACCCATCCGGTTTGTACCGTCACCTGGGGCTTTTTCTTATTTCCTGTCCTTCTGATGTTTTACCAGACAGGAAGTGAGGAGAGCTCAACAACACAGACCGCAATACATGGCTCTTCTTTTTTTAGTAGAGTAGGGGGAGGCTAGAACCCGTTGTAGATTTTCCCTCAATTCCTGTCTGATAAAACAGATGTCCGCAGGACAGGAAGTGAGCAAGTGAGGGTAAACCTCCCCAATTGAGCCCCATTAGGGGTTCTAAACTCTTCTCCCAAAAGGTTTTTAGCTTGACACCCAATTTAAGTTTGCACAAAACAGAGCATGCCCATCTATAACTTAGGTAGAGAGCTCCTTTACTGTCGATGTTGAAAAGGTGAACACGTCTGTGCATAGAACTGATATTAAGGTGCATGTAGGTATACCCACCTGTTTTCCATAGTCCTGTCCACCTCCTTTTCCACTAAGCCTGTCCTTCACTAATGATTGTGCAGCATTCAACGCAGCATTCACAATGCCTTCTGTAGACCTGGCTCCTATATGGGCAAAAGGATCCATATATCAATATGTGTACAACATCCAAACTCATGTGCACAATACACAGATAAGAGTGCACCCCTCCTCTTACAACAAACATCATTACCGATTCCAGAAGCCTTCGATAATGCTCGATTAAAAAAGAGGAGCCGACGCGGTTTTAACGATAAAATTAGAAATACTGTGCACAGCCCGCATTATCCGGCACATTTCTGAAGGACTTTTGCCCTACATGCAAGTCAAAGCGTCGCTCACCCACAAGTAAAAAAGCTGGCTCTCTGTAGATCAGGGGTAGGCAACCTTAGCATTGCAGCTGTTGTGGAAATACAATTCCCATGAGGCACTGCAAAACTGACATCAACACACATGAATCATGAAGGCATGATGGGATAGGTAAACTCGCCACCGCTAGGTTGCCTACTCCTGCTATAGATGTTCTGTTTATCCCCGGTCAGTTCAGACTCGGGGTTTATTCACGCCAGTACCACCTGAAAGCATATTCATTATTTGCACATATACTGCCAAGCATTGTGTTGCAATGCATTGAGGGGATTGCAGTTACATAGTTATAGTATTTGAGGTTGAAGAAAAAAAAAAAGACACGGGTCCATCAAGTCCAACCTATCACTCAGATACATAGAGGGATGCCTGACATTTGCCCCTCTCCATGCATAAAAAAACCTGAAAATACAGATGAGTGAACCTTCTTTAACCCCCTTATAAGCATGTGCCTAGAGACACTTGGGTTGAGGGAGAACTAAACATGCAACAAAATTGGCCAAAGGGTTGAGGTTTAATTTTTGTAGAAGAAATGTAGAGAGAGCAAGAAAAAAACCTCTGGTCTGCCATCTTTTGTTAATAGTAGACTGCCTGTGACAGATGCATAGCATACAGTCCTAGCATCTGCAAGATACCAAAAGCAGAGCCAAATACCAGTGCAATGCAACTCTAGTGCGAATGCAGAAGGTAGGTAGCATCGATCATCACCCAGGTAACCTTACACAATCCCATGCGGTTCACATGTCACAAGTGGTTGTGAAACTGGGCACATCACTTTTATAGATTGGCCCATGTATGGACATCCATATAGCTTAGCAGCAAAATCACCTCATTCAGCCAGATACCATAAGTTCCATATCAGCAAAATATCGGATGTTGGTGATGTTCCAAGGTTGCAGTGTATAACAGTGAGCAACTCATCTTAGCTCTACCTGTAACTGACTTTTTTGTTTTTTTAGACCCATACATTGCAAAGGGCCTGATATACTTAACCTGGGGTGGTGCAACTCTTTCTAGGGCTGCAGCTAACGATTATTTTCATAATCGATTAGTTAGCTGATTAACTTCAATTATTCGAATAGAATAAAAAAAAGTTATTTAAAATAAAATACAGCTTTACAGACAAAGTTTACTTCAGAGTAAAACAGTATGCAATCGCACTGCACTGGAACGCAGTGCGGAAGGGAGGTGCATTTGGGATGCATTGAATGAATGGCACTGCAACGCACCTCCTGCAGCAACATTTGTCAGGCTGAAACTTGCTTACTTTTCCATATTATATATAAAAAAAAAATGTAAATGGGTAAGCCGCATTAGTCCAGTAGACAAGATGTAAAAAAACAAAAACAGTATTGCAGTATGAAAGGTATTATTGCATACTGCAATACATATACATACATACATACATACATACATACATACATACATACATACATACATACATACATACATACATCCAAAGATGGTAGTTACATATTATACAAGATATGGCCAAAGGTTTGTGGACCACCAATATGGAATTGGCTCACCCTTCACTCTCCTGGTGAGGCTTTTCACAAGCTTTTGGAGTGTGTCTGTGGGAATGTGTGTCTGCCAAGTCTAAAGAGTATTTATGAGGTCAGGTACTGATGTTGGATGAGAAGACCTCACTCACAATTGCCATTCCAATTCATCCCAAACAGTGTTTAATAGGGTTGGGGTCAGTGTCCAGGAGATTGCATGGCTGTGTTCCATGTTTTGCATCGGTTAGTAGGTGACGATAAGACTCCTGAGCTCAGCAGTCTGGAAAGGTGGCCAAAAAGAAGCTCATGTACTTTTTACAGTGGCAGGCATGTTTCTGCTTGTGACAAAACTCTCAGGTATGAACTGGGGCCATTGAAACAAATAGGATTCCTTGTCTTAAACATTGACAAAATGCCCAGGTGTTAACGGGACCAACTTGGGAGGGAGGAGGCAGCAGTTAGGCAAAACTGTAAAGTACCCTGCATGGGTAAGTACGACTTCACTTGTCAGTTTTTCATACTCACCCTGATAACTTTCAGGCTGGTCCTTATTTGCCCCGAATATCATAATAGTGGGGTAGCCTCGTATTTCATACCGACTACCCAGAGATTTGTGTTGATCAGCGTCCACAGCCCCAACATTCACAATACCCTGCAAACAACATAAATCATATTTGAGAGCAAGGTACAATCATTGCCGAGTGTATCACATACCATTGCCAACTGTCCTTCACACACAGATCCCCGTACACTGCCGGCCGTCCGTCACGCAGATCCCCGTACACTGCCGGCCGTCCCTCACGCAGATCCCCGTACACTGCCGGCCGTCCCTCACGCAGATCCCCGTACACTGCCGGCCGTCCCTCACGCAGATCCCCGTACACTGCCGGCCGTCCCTCACGCAGATCCCCGTACACTGCTAACCGGCCCTCCCACAGATCCCACTACACTGCAATTCACAACAAGTTTTGCATTCCTATACAAGTCTATGGAAATGCAAAACCTGCAGGTCAAAAGGAGGTCAACTGCAGATCAAATGCACCAGTCAATTAATTCTGAAGGATCTCAGAAACATTTCAAACTGATGCCATTGGCACAAGTTCAAAGCCAATCGACACAGGGTATAACAACATTTCATCTTTAGCGGTGTGTTGCCAATTGGAGCCGAGGTTAATATGGATAAAGAATAAGAGGCACTGTTGCTTTGCCCATGTAGAACTATGACAGTGTCTGCATAAAATGCACCCCCTGGACCCTTTATATTCACCTTGCCAGCGCCTACTCCTATCCCTGCCTCCATTGCAGCAAGAATTAAAAACAGTGATGCAACTATCTTGTCCATGTGACAGTGACCAGGCCCAGAGACTGGCTGCTAGACCCAAACACTGTCAAAAGGAGGTCACATGCTTCCACATACTGGGAAGTAAAATGTATTGTCACAGGCTGCAACAGAGGCATGGAAAATATCGGGGGCTGATTGGTGGTGAGAGTATAGGAAGGGGTGCATGCTACAGAGCAAGCCTGGTGGCCCATTTAATTTTTTGGATATGCAATTCAGTTTCCTTGCAAACAAATCAAAATTGAACTGTGTATTAAGTTGTCTGAAGTTCCCCTGGCACCACCTTTGTTTTCTTCTTGGTATTTACCTTCAGCGCAGTTGCAGCTTTTTTCCACGCTGGGGCCAGAGTCTGGCAATGTCCGCACCTGCATTAAAATAACGATTTCGCATTAAATCCAGCAACATAAAAACTATAAAACAGTTTGCAAGTATTGAGGAATATGTAGAGATACAAGTAGTAGACAGGAGTTTACAGAAGGCCATATGTCTACAAGTATTTACTGCAACTTCTGCCGACAGAGCTATTTATATCACTACATATAACACATTGCAGCTCGGAGGGGTTGTGAATATGCAAATTGACATGTTTTCTATAGTAGGCATGCCAGAATGAATTCTGGGCTTCCAACGTCTTCCCTGCAGCTCCAAACTAACCAAAATGGGATTTCTCTGCAAAAGATAAATATTTTTTTTGCTGTGTGATATTGGAGAGTTCATTCATTTTGTTTTAATAGGAAACCTCTCCAAAAGGCCAATTGTCAGACAAGGTGTCCCCCGCTAGAACAAACTTATAACATTTTATGTTTCTGCTCACAACGGTCACCTGGACAAAATAAGAGTGTGAAACGCCTCCGAGAGTACACAGAACGCAACGAAAACATGACAGGGATCCTGGGGTTATTGCATTCTGTCTCCCTGCAGCAGATTTGACATTACTTCCTTTCTGGTGAAGGTGTTGTCACCAGGACAGCAAGCTCTTTTACTGCTATCCAGGGCTCTGTTAAAGCCCAGCAGGGGTTCTAATCCTTCCCCACTTTATCTAAAACTACATACACAAAACTATTCTACTTTACATCAATTTGCAGCAGAATACTTAAGGAAATGAGTTGTTCCTTTTTCTGGAATAAAATTTAAGTATCAATTATCAAAGTAGTATACACTCTTTTTAGAAGGGTGACCCTCACTAGAGGTAATGTGGCCCCCTGCCCATTTTATTAGAATTTTACATGGCAGTTCTAAACCACCATACACACAAACACACAGAACCCAAAAAATGGTATACACTGAAAATAGTAGATGTGTCATAAAATGTTTGATGGTACTTACCAAGGAGCATAAAACTCTACCAGCCACAAGCCGTCACTCTGGATAACCTCTCGGTTGAAGTTAGAAAGGGTTAATTCTACAACATCATCGCTGGCAGAATACATACCCCTCACTGCAAGATACAGTGAGCATAGCACTGCCCCTGCAAAGAGAGCATACCAACATAAGATTAATATATGAATGTAACTGCAACACACACACAAAATCTAAAACAAGTCCTCAGGGGATACCTATTGCAATCATTTGAAGGGGTCATACTGACAGCTCTATAATACAGCTGTTCTTCACCCTCGGGTCTGTGGACCTCTATGTTTCCTGAGCCATGGAGGACTGATCTCCCAGCTGGCAGTTCCTGCATCTGGAACTGTCATACAGCAGAGGCAGTGCTATGAATCAGTGGAGCACTTACTCCCGTCTCTCAGGTAAGTGACCACTGATACTAATGATCTTTTTAGCAGTCTGTGAGGAGGTCCCTCCTGCCCACCAATGTAAGAGAGGTCCCTCCTGCCCACTGACCAACAACATAAGGAGGGGGTCCTTCTTCCCACGGAGCAAAAATGCTCATGCTGATGCAGTGAGCTGTAGATAAACTTTTTGGCAGGTGTTCCCGAGGACCAGTAAATGATTTCAAGGCATATTCTATTCAAAAAGAGTTTGGAAAAAAATGCTCTAGTATGAAGCTTTCAGCTTGAAGGTTTCTTTGTCATTCAAAAAAAATGTTTTGCCAAGTGAACCAAGATTTCAGCTTTGGACTATAAATTTAACAGGAAGTTGCTGTGCATCAGGCTCATTTTGGGCTTTATTTATACAACACACCAACAGCAATTGCATTCAATAACCAGTCAGACTCCATTTCCTCAGCAATAAAATAAATATTCAGCAGTGTTTTACAGAGAACATTCATCCATTCACAATGTCCCTACCCCGTGAAGGGCTCACAATCTAATGCCCCTAGCACACCTGTAGACATAACATGGAGCACCTACCTACTCTAGTGTTGAGCTTTGGTGTGAATATATATTTTTTGGAAACGGTAGCAAAGCTACAAGTTATGACAAAAAGGGAGTATTAAATGCCAACAAATCCTTCAAGCTTCAGAAAACATCTGCGCAATCCGTGGAACGTTGGGTCATCAAGTGTATGTCTGTAGACCAGGGGTAGCAAACCTCCGGCTGTGGTGAAACTACAAGTCCCATGATGCATCTCTATTCGGGAGTTCATGACTGTGGCTGTGAGAATCTTGCAATGCCTCATGGGATTTGTAGTTCCACCACAGCTGGAGGGCCGGAGGTTTGCTACCCCTGCTGTAGACCATAAAGGACCATCGTAGACATCTCCTGTCTGACCATTCTTGGCAGGGGACAGTTAATCAGTAATAGATTATTTTTGTCCAGTTGTTAATGTACCTCCCACCTAAATGTCTGCATAGTGTTCACCCTCCTACAAGCATGTAGGTACAAGCATGCACATCCTCCCAGTTCATGGGAAGTTCATGCAGTGTATAGCCAGCAACCACATAATGGTGGTCAGAAAAATTCCACCTCCCATTTATTTATATGCCCAAATTAAAACATTTATTTGCAGTATATAGTTAGAAGCAGGCAAAGAGTTGCTGTTGTGAAGTCCTAGACCGAGACACCCCCATCATGTCCTACCCCAAAGGTATCAAGAAGATGGGGAAATCATTATCGTCAGTGCCCATGAGGCAGGAAGTGGAGGAGGTGTTCGAAAAGTTCAGCTATCCTGAAAAACTGCCTTCCAGTTCTCCTCTGCCCTCGATGTGAGGATTGCCTAGGTCTAGGTCCCATAGGGCCCTCTTGAAGATGGGCAGTCGGCACACGGTGCGTCTGCCCCCAAGCGGGGTCTATACTGTACGGGATAGCGATTGCTTGCTATGTTTACCAATGCAAATCAGGACATGACAGTTTGATGATTCATTATCCAAGTTCACAACAACTGTGTGAGGAGAAAGCAAAACCTAGTCACACCCAAGGATGCCCTAAGCAATGATATCCAAGAGCAGGAAGCACAATTTTCACTACTTGGAGGTTGCTTCCGGTGAAAAATTGAAATCTGCATTGTAGGTTAAAAACAAATCCTCTGATTGGTCCAGCCCTAGTATAGACGTACACCAGGTGATTTGTGACTGATCACCAGGAGTTAGGATGGACACATAAGTGGTCTTATCATTCTTGAGATTTGGGGGTCTTCAAGTTTTTTCGAGAAGGCAGCAAAGACTGGAAGTTCTCAAGGCCTATATGATCGGGAAGGAAACTGGGGTCTGCTGCAAGCATGTATTTTGTGCATGGGGTAGAGAGACAAATAGAGGTTCAGCCTGTTTTAAGAAAATGTGTGATCTTCAGAAGTCTGAATTTTGATTACAGAGGACGGGAACTTCTCAGTTTTTGTATGGATAAATCTTTCCATGTCCATTTTCCAATAAAAACTATTGTAAATGATGTACATGTGCAGTTGCTGCTCTGTTAAGCTTTATATCCATAAAGTCAAAAGACTGGTAAATCTTATCTTGATGGACCGTGTGAGCATCATCTCTGAGGTTCCACCCTAGGAACCAGATACAAGGCTCTGCCAAGTGGGAATTGATCAGCAAATTACCCTTTTCAATAAAGGATCTGTACTCCTAAATGTGTTACTGGACATACCTGGCAACAGACAGTTTTGAAAGCATTGTGTGAAAAAGTAGGGATGCACTGATAGTAGTATCGGTATCAATCACCGAGTATTTCGGCGAGTACTCGTACTCTCCCAAATGCTCCAGATGCCTATCCCAATACCGGAACTTCTGGTTTCAGGAAGTCGGGCTGGGAAGCCGGCTCCATGCTCCCTCGTTACTTGGTGGCGATACAACATCTCACCGAGTGACTCTCCTCAGCCAGAAGTGTCTCTATTGAAGCCAAGTCAATACACAGCACGGCGCAGCAAGAGAGAGAAGCCATAGCACTGCCACACTACAATTACCGGCACCCTTTGTGCCTCATCCGGAAGTGGGGAAAGGAGCTCAGAGAACTCTTATTGGCTGGCTGTCCTCTATTGGCACTGTAGGCTGTAGCTGTCAGTGGCTGGTGTCCGCTCTTACGTCAGGGAGGAGCGATCTCTGCGATTGGTTTGTACGGGGAGAGAACTTTAGCGCTAGTTTCGCCGAAAGTCACACGCGAGCGCTGACAGACCATTGAGAAGTATTATCCATCTGTCCCAGCTGCAATGTGTGTGAGGAGTGAGCATGGAACCGGCTTTCTGGCCAATCAGGAAACCAGGCAGCGTGTAATGACTCGCCGCCTGGCTTCCTGATTGGTTGGGAAGCTGGCTAATCAGGAAGCTGGGCGGCGAGTCATTACACGCTGCCTGGTTTCCTGATTGGCCAGAAAGCCGGCTTCATGCTTCCTTGTCACCTGGGGACGAAGGTGCATGGAGCTGGCTTTCTGGCTAATCAGGAAGCCAGAGGGAGGGTAATAACTCGCCACAGCTTCCTGGCTAATCAAAAAAAGCTGGGGGGCGAGTCATTACATGCCGCTCGGCTTCCTTAATGGGATTTCAGGTATTGGTATTCGGTGAGTACGAAAAAAAAAGTACTCGTACGCTATACAGAGAAACGGTATTGGCGCATCCCTATTGGAAACATAAGGCAAAGCTTCCACTGAGTCTGGAATGATGTATCCAGATAGCTCAGCCTAGCAGAATGAGACTAGAGGCCACATGGTCCTCTCTTCTGCAACCACCCCATGCCCTGGGGAGGATTTATGAAAATGTGGACTGGCTTCCCCCTAGCAAACACAACATCCTCAATCTAAAAGGTGGCCATACACTGTACAACCATCGCAAGACCTTAGTCTTGCGATGGTTGTAAAGGGATTAAAAAAAACGTACGATCTGCCTATCTTGGACAGGCAGATCGCACTCTCGATCATCGCAAGCCCGCCCCCCTGAGGGGCGGGCTTCCGATGACCGCAATGCTGAATGGGCAGTGTGCGCATGCGCACACCGGCCCGTTCAGCATTTGTCTTCCGAGCACCGTTCTAACCAGCCGAGAATCGTACGATTCCCGGCTGGTTTTCGAATATGCTGGTTCGACAGAAGACGTGCGACCGTACAGTAGAAACGGTCGCACGTCTCCGTTCACACTGCTCGATTCTCGTAGGATCGCGGGATTTCCCGCGATTCTCGTACGAGAATCGAGCAGTGTATGGGCACCTTTAGGAAGACGACTTTCCACCCCGAGAATCGGTTCCACGTTGCTTTCAGCTTTTATGAATCAGCTCAAGGACTGATAGTTGAGCAGTAATCCCTCTAGAGACATTCCTCTCACTAAATTGGCAATCTCAGGAGGGAAGACAGGATGCAATGCAAGATGTCTTCATGGGAAGCTACAGATTACGTAAAGAGGGCCTTCGCCCTAAAAACGCACTATCCTCCATTCCAACCACCACCCCACTGCCCCCACCCCTTTCACAATATTAAAGGCCGACATTATATAGTTCGCTACAATTTTGCCCCCTTTTGTTTGTACCTTCTCCTTCCTCCATTCTCATCTAGCACCTTCCAGGATACCCACATCCCATATCCCCAGAAGGCAACAAATCCCCAAACTCACGCTCGAAGAAAGTGCGCATGTGCGAGAACTCACGCCGCATTATCAGTAATCTGATGAAGAAGAGAAGAAGTGCACTATGGGAATTGCAGGGGAGATTAGGACAACCCTGGAATAGAAGGCCTTGGAGGTATATTTGGTCTTCCGAAATTCAGGGGGACGGGCATCATAAAACTTCAGGATTGTTTTGGCACGGGAGGGTGAAGGTCCCCTTAAGAGAGCAGCTACACTTCAAAAGGGCACTTATTCTCTTTGACCTCCTTTCCATGACCCAACAGATCCGGGGGGTGTCCTCTTGTGTTTGTTTACATCCCATGCCACAGGTCCTTCCTCTCTTTGCCTGTGCTGTAGAACCCCACAGACTTCTATGGTGCTGGTCTCCCTGCTGGGAGAGGACTGCAATGGTGGATGTAAACAAACACGGGAGGCCGCAGGCTGGATCTGGGCAGGTATACAGCTATGGAGGGGTAGGGTGGGGTGGGGTCTGATCTGGGCACAAAGAATAGGTGCACTTGGTCTGAACATAGATTTATTCTTTGAAGAAAAAAAACTCAACCCATTTCCCCCCCTTATGTTGTTTGCTGGGTTCTCCCAATGTTGTCCTGCTGCAATCTACCACCGCGCGTTGGGGCCACCATGCCATTATCTCCTTCACTTACATCATCAGGAGATGGCTGTCTGTGTGCGTTTGCGCAGCCGGCCCCCTGATGATGCATCACAAATGCGCAGTTTCTGTAGCTTGCGCCCAAACCTCCATGAGTATTGCAGCGGTGTGTGAGAGACCAATACAATTTTGCCTACCTGGAGGAGATGGCTGCACCCAAGAAAGAAAGGCTGCACCCAAGAAAGAAAAATATAATAAGTAGGTAAAGCCTACCTCCGAGCATGCCAAAAAAAACTACCCCGGCAGTGGGGGCTGCTAACCCCCGGGCAAGGGTTAACAGCTCATTTATGGCTGGGGGACCAGAATAAGGCTTTTTTCCCTGATCCCCGCTCCCCCAGAGTTCAACTTTGGCTGGTGGAATGTCCCTCAACATCCTCACATCTGATGCAGGTCTACAGAAACCTTAATTAGGTGTGATGACATCAGCGTTCCTAAGGGGAGAAGAGGCTGCGCAGACCAGTCTAGCAGCCCACCCCGGAGAAAGGATCAGGTAAGTAAAACCGATATTTCCTGTTCCCTAGGCAACGAACACTTAACCCTTGCAGTGCCATAGACAGCCCCACCGCAAGGGGAAACTTCTGGTTGGACCAGAGATGGGCTTTAAAAATAAAATACATTTTAAAAAATATTTACCAAAAAACAAAATCTTAAAATACATTGAAAACAAAATGTAAAAATATTTTTAATAAAAAATAAAAGCATAGGTCCTCTTTAATGTTAGCAACATTCCTAAATACACACACTAGTGTGAATATATATATATATATATATACATACATACATACATACACACACACATACACACGTATATACAGACAGAGAGAGACAGAGGAGAGAGAGAGACAGAGATGCATGTATGTGTGCATAATATACATTCCAAAGCCCCCGAGCTGGCAGTGACAATGCCTGTCATCCATGACCCGGGGACAGGACGGAGAAGGATGGACTGGCTCACATACATACAGCACACATTGCGCGCGCACACACACGCAGTATATACGCTCCGAAGCCTCTCACCCAGTAGCGCTCCTTTCGCCATCCTCCCGCTGTGTTCCGTCCGCTGTGTGCACCGGCGTCTGCCCGTCTTCTTCCCAGCACCTCGGAGCTACACTCTCACCTTCCGCCGTGGCCAATGCCTATTGGTTCCTCCCTGAGCTCCGGCGTTAATATAGCCAATCAGGGGAGGCCGGGTAGCGCAGCCGCGGGTGACTCTCCCCTACCCTCCCCCTGTGTGAGCGAGCTGGGAGAAACTGATTGGCTGGCGCCGGGTGACGGGATTTCGGGGCGTGGCTGCCCTGCGCTCCAGGATTTGGTGACGTCACGGTGGGACGGGAGCATGGAGGAAAGTTAGAGGAGTTGTATCATGATGAGTGTCACAGGCGGATCTGATGTCCGCACACCGATCATTAGTGAACGAGCTCTCTAATCCGATTTGGCATGAGCTGTGCACAGCGTGTTTTGGGGGCCATTTACACTGTTGCATGTTAAAGAATAACTCCGGGATTCATAAACATTAACCCTTTCAGTGGGGCTGTCTGTGCATTACAAGGGTTAACTGCTCATTCTGTTTGGGGTGAGAAAATAAAAAAGAAATACATGATCCATGGTCCTGCCTGACTGATAGACCCGTCCCTGCAGCCTCTTCTCCCCCCTGGGCTGCAGTGGTGTTGACCAGTGATGTCATTAAGTCTAATTCACCTGCATTAGGTGTGAGGATGCCAAAGACATACCACAGCCAGAGCAGAGGGGGAGATAGGTGATCGGGTAAAGTTTTTAAAAAATCCTGGCGTTCTTTAACCCCTTCATGACTGAGGCCTTTATTTCTTTTTTATTTGCACCCATGTTATATTCCACATTTTAGGCCTGAAAATTACTTAAAACCTTGAAACATTATATATTTTCTGAAAGCCAAGACCCTGTAGAGAAATATGGTGGCTGTTGCAAATTTTTATGTTGCACGATATTAGGGCAACACCTTATCAAACCCCAAAATGTAGTGAAAAATGTACTTAAATGCCCCAAAACACAATAAAATAATATATAAAAGATGAGGTTACAACAGGTAAATAGATACCCAACATGCCCAGGTTAAAAATTGTGTGTGTCCGTGAGTGAGGAGTATATTATGTGTGCT